CGCCGCCCCCGGCCCGCCCTGCGCGCGGCAGATGGAGCGGGGCGGGACCCCCCGGGCCCTCCCCGCCGCTCGCCCCCGCCGGGCCCCCCCCGGCTCCAGCCGTCGCCACTCCCCGGAGGAGGGACCGGGAGCGCCCGGGAACGGCCCCGCGGGGACTCCGGGGCGAGGACGGGCACGGGGGTCCGCGGAACCGGTGCCTTCCCCGCCTGCTCCACTGCCACCCCCTTCCCTGCCGGCACCTGCGGCCCCCAGCCCCAGGAGGGATCCCCGCAGTGTGACTCGCACAGCGGGACGGGGACGGGAATGGTGACGGGGATGGGGACAGCGGTGGTGGGGACAAGGACAGCGATGCTGGGGACACGGACAGTGACGGGGACATGGACAGTGACGGTGGCGGTGAGCTGGCCCTGGCAGCCCCGGCTGATTCACGGCTCCCGGTGTCCCCGTGTCCCTGGCCACTGCCCAGCCCTGGCAGCGCCCCACGGCTGCGCCCGCCCGGCCCCCCCGGGCACCCCCAGCCCCGACGAGAGGGACCTGGGGGGCAGCGCCCCCGCCCACCCAGCCGGGGCCAGCGGGACCGGGGTCAGCAGGACTCGTCCCGCAACGGGGGGGTCCCTGGTGTCCCCAACAGCCAGCGATGTCCCCGTGGCACACCCCGGCTGGTGGCACCGCTGGGTCCCCACATACCCTGAGTGGGTCTGGAGTCCCTCAGCCCTATCCTGCCCCCCCCCAGGGATCCCCTCCAGAACAGACCAGGAGTTCTGGGGGGTCCCATGAGCCGGGGAGGTGTCACGGACACACCAGACACACCAGGCCCCTGTCACTGTCACCCAGCACGCGGTGACCTTGACGGACGCTTGGCTCCGGCCCCGCGGGTGAATCACGGTACCGCTGCAGGGACACCCTGTCCCCCAGTGCCACCGACCCGAGGGGCTTCACCGTGCCCGAGCGGGGGACAGCCCCACGCCGCCAGCTCCCGCGTCCCCGTGTCCGTGTCCCAAATTCCGCCCGACCGCACAGCCGGGGGGGCACCCCGAGACTCCCCCGCCGTGCCGGGGGGCAGAGCCCGGCCCGGTGACTGCAGCCGTGCCCCCCGTGTCCCCTCATGGCCCCGGGGTACGGTGGGGAAGTCAGAGCACAGCGTCACCCCGGCGGCACAATTAACCACGGCCGAGGCAATCAAGAGGTTCCGTGAGCAGCTGGGGGGGTCGGGGATGCGGAGTGAGGGGGTGCCCCCCCACAGAAGGGTCCCTCAGCCCACAGAGGGTCCCCCCGCCCCCCCGAGGGCCCTGCGGCTGCGCCAGCACCAGCGCGGGAGCGCCCGGAGCCCGGCGGCAGGGCCCGGAGCTCCGGGTGGAACGGGGGTCCCCGCGGGGCCCCTCACGTGTGCGGGCAGGTGCGGGGCCGGGGGGACCCGAGGGGGTCGGGCAGATGCGCCGGGGCCACTCCGTCCCCCGCCAGCTGCCGGGGACCCCGGGGACAGCCGGGGGCTGCGCGGGAGGCTCGGGGACACCGCGGGGCGGGACAGCCAGCGGGCCCCACCCCGCACAGCCCCCCGGGGATGCCCGGAGCCCCGACCCCCCCGGATCATTAGCGGAGGGAAATCAGGGTGTAATTAAGCGGCGCCTCCTGCTCCCGCGGCAGATGGCGGTTACACAACGGGCCGCGGATTAGCGGCGGCGGCCAGGGCCTGGCACCCGGCAGGCACAGCACCGGGAGAGGGGCACAACAGCACCAGCAGGTGTCTGCCCGCTGCACCCCGCCGGGAGCCCCCCGGGGCCTGTCCCGGACCCGGCTGCCCCCGGGCACGGCACCCACCGCCCCACAACACCACGGTCACGACCCCCGGCCAGTCCCCCCAGCACCACCGAGCCATCTTGGCATCACCCGGACACTTTGGCACCACCTGGACACTGCTGGCATCACCCGGTCACTTTGGCACCACCTGGACACTGCTGGCATCACCCGGACACTTTGGCAGCACTCGGCCACCTCCAGCACTGCCTGGACATCTTGTCACTGCTCGGACACGTTGTCACTGCTGGCCCATCTTGGCACAGCCTGGCCACATCGTCACCAAAACTGTCCGGACACCTCGGTCAGCCCAGCCATCTCTGCACCTCTGGCACCTGGTGTCACCTGGTGTCACCTTGTGTCACCTTACCACCTCCAGCAGCACCTGGCCACTATGGCATTCCCTGGTAGCCTTTGCCACCACTTGGCCACCTCTGGCACCTCGAGCATCAGCCAGTCAGCCCCCACCCAACCCTGGGGCCCTCCACAGCCCCAGGGCCCACCCATGTCACCTGTCCCCCCCGTCCGGGTCTCACCTGTGTCACCTTCTCGGTGACGTTGTGGGTGCGGTCGCGCAGTTTGGTGGGGGCAATGATGGGGCGGGGGGCCGGGGGCGAGGCCAGGAGCCCCCCCGGCTGCAGGTCCATGAAGTTGAGGGTGATCTGGGGGATGCGGCCGATGGCCCGGAACCGCGCCAGGTCCGAGTCCGACGTGGAGTTGAGCAGCGCGCTGCGCACAGCGGCCACCGCGCCTGCAGGGGCCACACCGTCACTGTCACCGTCACCGTGGCAGGGGGACCGTCACCGCCGCACACACCCTGCATCCCCCGGCAGCTCCCACAGCTCCCCAGGGCTCCTGGGGTCCCACAGCCCCTGGGGGGACCCCACAGCTCCCAGGGGTCGGTCCCACGGCAGGTGAAGGGAATGCGGAGCCCTAGGGCAGGGCAGACCCCCAGCCGTGTGCCCCCAGCCCCCCAGGGACCTGCAGAGCTGCTCTCAGTTACCTTTAATGTCATTACAGTAATTGTCCCTTATCTTAATACGCTTAACGAGCTCTGGGGCCAGCGAGGTGACTCCCAGGGTGACTCCCAGGGTGACTCCCGAGGTGACTCCCAGGGTGACTCCACCCTGCGGCTCAGGGGGCTGCAGGATGGGATAGGAGGGTCCAGGGAGATGCGGGGGGTCCCCAGCCCCTGCTGTGGGGCAGTGGGATGGGGGTCACCAGGGTGTGTGGCGGCGGCTGCCCGTGTCCCCAGCCCCGATGGCTGTCCCCGAGCCCGCACGGCCGTACCGGTGCTGGAGCCGCGGTGCAGGCCGGCGCTGGCGCTGGCGTGGCGGCTGTGGCAGCGCTTGTCCCCGTCCCCCTTCATGGCCTCGATGTCATCGACGGACGAGGCGCGGCGGAGGCTGCGGAGGCTCTCCCGGGACCGGCGCTCCCGGGACCGGCTCCGGGCCAGGCTGTGGTTGGCGAAGGCCAGCGCCAGGCGCTCGGCCCGCGGGGACGACTGCGTCACCGGCGGCTCGGGGTCCCCCATCAGCGCCGCCTCGTCCTCGGGGCGGTCCCCAGCGCCGGGCTCCAGCGACGAGGAGGCGTCCTCAGGGCCCGAGTCGCTGGCAGGCAGGGCGGGCTCCGTGGGCAGCGGGTCCGTGACCCCCGGGTCCACGACCACCACGTCCGGCGGCTCCGGGGGCTCGGGGGGCAGCGACTGGCGGCTGCCCGTGAGCGCCAGCAGCTTCAGCCGCAGGGAGCGGCTGCGGCCTGGGGGGGACAGCAGGGCTCACCCTGGGCTGGGGCAGGGCAGCACCCAGCTCCGAACCCCAGCACCGCGCTGCTTCAGCCCCGGGGATCAGCTGCAGCCTGCAGCCAGGGCTGGGCCGGGGGCAGGGTCTGAGCCCCCTCCCCACGGTGCTGCCACTCTCCCCATGTGCCCCAAAGCAACACCTGGGACACGGGGTCAGCAGCACATGGGCTGACACCAGCCCGTGGGCACCGAGCCCATTCCCCCTGCAGGACCCCAGGAGGAGGCGGTGACCCAGTGTCCCTGTCCCCCATAGCTGGGTATGACCCAGTGTCCCTGTTCGCATACCGGGGGGTGACCCAGTGTCCCTGTCCCCCCCATACTGGGGGTGACCCGGTGTCCCTGTCCCCATACCTGCAGGGCCCCAGGGGGCCGGGGTGACCCAGTGGTTGGTGCTGGGGGTCGGGGCCTCCCCGGGCTCAGGCTCCCTCACGGCCTCGAAGTTGAGGATGAACATGATGACGGTGCCATCCTCGTTCTTCACTGGCACCACGTCCACCAGGCACGGGAAGGAGCTGCCTGTGGGGAGGGAGGTCAGTGACATGAGGGGGTGGCACCCCCACCGGGTGGTGGCCCCAAACATCCCTGGAGACACTGCCCCTGTCCCTGCCAGGCACCCCCTCCTGCCCCCCAACCCTGCTGGGCACCCCCTCCTGAGGAGCCCCCCCTGCCGCCCCCCCAATCTTGCTGAACCCCCCTCCTGCCTACCCCGGGGATCACCCCCGCCTGCCCCCCAGCACTGACCCCACCAGACAGCCCCACTGCAGCTGCAGCGCGGGGGAAACTGAGGCACGGAAGGGCGGGGGTGCCCCCTTTCTCCCCCCAAATGTCGTGGCATGTCTGTGCGTGGGCAGCGGCGCCGGGGGGGCCGGGGGGGCTCTGGGGGTGCCGGGCAGGGTTAAGCCGCTCAGAACTCGTTCACAGCTGTGGCGTTAATCCGGTGCCACAGCTGGGGGCGGGGGGACCTGGGGGTGGTCAGGGCAGCCCGGGGCAACCTCTGGGGGATGGGGAGGCACCCTGCTCCCCCCGGCAGCCCTCACCCTACGGGGACACGGGTGGGTGGTGCCAGGGGGACACGCGGGTGACGCTAAGCACCGAGTCCCCGCTGCCCGCGTCCCCCCGGCTGGCGCCGGGCCCGGCAGCCTGGCACGGCGGGTGCCAGCTGGCACTGTCCCTGCTCCCGTGCCCGCGGCGGGGGGATTCCCTGACGCACGCGGGGCCGCGGGCCAGCACGGGGGGGCACAGGGTGGCCCCGGGCTCCCGCGGGGTCTTCGCCGAGCCAGCGCCCCCAGGGGACCCGTGACACCCACCCGCGGGCACGGCGGCTCCTGCACCCGCGGCAATCTCGAGCCCCAAGGCTCGGGTCCAGCTGCTGAGGGGGCTGTCCCGGGTGGGGGCACGGGGGGCACCGCACTGGCACAGGACACCCTGCTGCAACGGCACCCACCCCCCTGCCCCCCTCACCCCTAAGGGCACTGCCGACCTCTAGACCTGTGCCCCAAATCCCCCCGCACCCCCACACTGCTCCCCGTGACCGCCACGGGGCACCGGGACCCCCAAAGTGGGGGGACCCCCCTGACCCACATCCCTGCACCCCCTCACCGCACCCACTGTCCTGGGACCCGCACCCCCGCACCGAGGAGCCACCTGCACGCCCCGGCCTGCAGCCAGGCTGGGGACACCCGTGTGGCGCAGGGGGACCCCCACAGCCCGAGGTGCCACAGGGACAAGGCCACGCTTCGGCCCCCGGCCGCTCCCACCCCGCACCCTCACCGGGGGCCACGCACGGGGGTCCCCAAAGGCCACAGCAGCAACCGGGGGCGTCGGTGCCCCCTCCCTGCCCCCCACGCAGCCTGGGGCCCCTGAGGTGTCCCTACGGGGACACAGGTGCCCCGCGGGCGGCGTGACCTCCCCGCGTCCCCGGCTCCATAAACAACACGTCGCGAAGACAAATGGCTGCAGCAGCGGCGGCTCCGCGGCTCCAGCACGGCTCCTCCGCGGCTCCAGCCGCCAGGACACAGCACCGGCCACCGGGACACGCCAGGGGCTCGGGGTGGGGGCTGCAGGGTGCCGGTGAGCACCACAACACGACCCCGAGGGCACCCCTGCAGTGGCAGCGACACCGGGAGCACCGGGCACGCCGGAGCCACTGGCAGCAAGGTCCCTGCCCCACGGCGCCGGGGGGGTCCCAGTGCAGTGAGTGGAACCCCCCAGCACCCTCACACAGTGGCTGGTATGGGCAGGAGACCCCCACGGTGGCACCAGTGCAGCCCCCAGGGCCGGCACCTCCGCAGCAGCCTCTGGCCAAGGGGCCCAGGACCCCCAGACCCAACTCACTGCCGAGGGTCCCTCCCCATCCTAAGGGACAGCCGGTCCCCATGAACTGCCCTGTCCCGGTGGGGGCTCCCAGAGCACCCCCAGAGCCCCCACCACACTTCCCCATGGGCCCCACAGAAGCTCCCAGGGGCAGGGACCCCTCATGACTGCTGGAACCCCCTGTCCCACCTCTCCCTGGCAGCACGCGCGGGCTGCTAAGGGCTGAGACCCCCACGCTGCTCAGGGGGCACAGCCGGGGGGTGTTGAGCTCTCTGGGGACCCAAGGAGGGCCCCAGGCAGGAGCCCCACCCCTGTGGCACCCAGCAGGCCGACCAGTGTCACCCCAGCGAGGGCACAACAAGGCTCCAGGGGGGCACCCGTGTCCACCTGTGCCCCAGAGCCCCGGTGCTGCACAGTCCAAGGGGCACGGGGGCGTGCCAGGCACAGCCATGCAGCAGGGCGAGGGTGCCAGGGCCAGGAGGGTGCCTCTGGCCCCAGCCCACCTCCCGGGGCTCCCGGGGCCACGGTGGCTCCACATGGCAGCTGGCACCAGCTTTGTTTACTCCTGCACCGGAACCGGGGCCGTGTGCCCAGAGCCGGGACAGCTGTGGTGACAGCCGGGACACCTGGCACTGGCACGGGGCCACGGTGAGGGGAAGCACCAGCACTACCAAGGCGGGGAGCCAGCCCGGCTCTGGGGCACAGCTCCCACCTCCCAGCACGGGGACCCCGGGGTGTCACCTGCCCGATGCTCCACACAGTCCCCGGGGATGGTGGCACTGTGACCCCAGCTCAGCCCGCTGCTCCCCTGTCCCTGCTGCAGGTGGCACAGCCCCTCTGCGCCCCGTCTGCGGGGATCACTGCCCCCCACAACACCTGGTGGCTCTCTGGGCCCACGTGGTGGCCACCACGGCACCAGGAAGGGCTGAGGGCTCGCAGGGAGCTGGTGCCCGTCTGGAGCCACCAGTGCCAGGCTCGCACCCTGCTGGGAGCCACCACGGTGCTGGAGAGCGCTGCGAGCCCCCTGGGCTCCACCTGAGCCAAGAGCTCCTGCCAGCCAGCCCTGTCCCCGTGCCCTGTCCCCAGCCCTGTCCCCGAGGGTCAGTACCACCCTGGCGGCTGGGGCAGCTCCGCACCCCGCGCTGCCGCTCGGCGCGCCCCGCTGTCCCCGCTGTCCCCCTGTCCCCGCTCCGTACCATCCTTGCGGTAGAAGCAGATCTCCACCTTGCGCTCCTCGGCGCCCAGCAGCGCCTGGGCGATCTGGGCGGCGGCGCGGCGCTGGGTGCGCGGCCCGTGCAGGAAGTCGCAGGTGCTGGGAGGCAGGAGCCCCACCCCTGTGGCACCCAGCAGGCCGACCAGTGTCACTCCAGCGAGGGCACAACAAGGCTCCAGGGGGGCACCCGTGTCCACCTGTGCCCCAGAGCCCCGGTGCTGCACAGTCCAAGGGGCACGGGGGCGTGCCAGGCACAGCCATGCAGCAGGGCGAGGGTGCCAGGGCCAGGAGGGTGCCTCTGGCCCCAGCCCACCTCCCGGGGCTCCTGGGGCCACGGTGGCTCCACATGGCAGCTGGCACCAGCTTTGTTTACTCCTGCACCGGAACCGGGGCCGTGTGCCCAGAGCCGGGACAGCTGTGGTGACAGCCGGGACACCTGGCACTGGCACGGGGCCACGGTGAGGGGAAGCACCAGCACTACCAAGGCGGGGAGCCAGCCCGGCTCTGGGGCACAGCTCCCACCTCCCAGCACGGGGACCCCGGGGTGTCACCTGCCCGATGCTCCACACAGTCCCCGGGGATGGTGGCACTGTGACCCCAGCTCAGCCCGCTGCTCCCCTGTCCCTGCTGCAGGTGGCACAGCCCCTCTGCGCCCCGTCTGCGGGGATCACTACCCCCCACAACACCTGGTGGCTCCCGGGGCCCACCACGGCACCAGGAGGGGCTGAGGGCTCGCAGGGGGCTGGTGCCCGTCTGGAGCCACCAGTGCCAGGCTCGCACCCTGCTGGGAGCCACCACGGTGCTGGAGAGCGCTGCGAGCCCCCTGGGCTCCACCTGAGCCAACAGCTCCTGCCAGCCAGCCCTGTCCCCGTGCCCTGTCCCCGTGCCCTGTCCCCGGGGGTCAGCACCACCCTGGCGGCTGGGGCAGCTCCGCACCCCGCGCTGCCGCTCGGCGCGCCCCGCTGTCCCCGCTGTCCCCCTGTCCCCGCTCCGTACCATCCTTGCGGTAGAAGCAGATCTCCACCTTGCGCTCCTCGGCGCCCAGCAGCGCCTGGGCGATCTGGGCGGCGGCGCGGCGCTGGGTGCGCGGCCCGTGCAGGAAGTCGCAGGTGCTGGGCTGCTGCATCACCTCGGCCCGCGAGTACCCGCAGAGCCGGCAGAACCCCTCGTTGCAGTAGATCACGGCGCAGTTCTCCACGCGCGCGTTCCCGATGATGAACTTGCGGCCTGGCGGGAGAGGGGCGGGTTGGAGCCCCCCGGCCCGGCAGCCCACGGCGGGGGTCCCCTGCACCCATCCACCCGCGGCTCTGGGCTTCCGGGGACACGCACGCCATGAGTCACCCCGCCCGCTCCCCAGGGACCCCTCAGCTGGTGCCATCACCACCGTGGGGACCCCAGATCCGCTGGGATCCCACCGTCACAGGGACCCCATAACCACGGGGACCCAGGGGCTCCCAGCACTGCAGGGACCCCATAACCACGAGGACCCAGGGGCTCTCAGCACTGCAGGGATCCCCCAAGAGCAGGGACCCCATAACCACGGGGATCCAGGGGCTCCCAGCAATGCAGGGACCCCCCAAGAGCAGGGACCCAGCTGAGCAGACACCTCACAGGGACCCCACAACAGCAGGGACTCTGGGACCCCCTCATCACCACGGGGACCCCCATAACTGCAGAGACCCCTTAAGGACACCACTACCATGGGGACCCTGGGACCCCCACCTCCCCACCCTGAGGGCAGTGGCTCAGCCAGGCCAGACCCCCCGAGCACAGCCTGTCCCCCAGCAGGTGACACCCCCAGCCCGACCCACGGGCAGCACTCCCCCCACATCCCTGCCCTGTCTCCAGGCTGGGGGATGCCCAGGCCCTGACCCCAGAGAGGCGCTGGGAACCCCCAGATTTTCAGTCTCCCAGAGCCCCCACTCTGCCAGGGGCAGCTGCTGGGCAGTGTGGGGGGGCACAGGCCAGTGGGACCCCCAGTCTCACAGCAGCCTGAGCTGGTGGTGGGGGCTCCACACCTCGGGGACGGAGGGGAAGGCCCAGTTCTGGCACCCCAGAGGCAGGGGCTGCTGGAGGACAGGGTGGGCAGCAATCCCCCGCCAGGCAGGTTTGTCCCCGTCACCCCAAGCCCACCTCGGGCTGGGGACTTCCGCACGCCAGGGTGAGCAGGGTCCCTCCCTGCCGGGCTTGTCCCTGTCACCTCAAACCCACCCAGGGCCACAGTTCCCTCACTCCCCTCCCCCCTGGTGCTCCCCGGTGTCTCCCAATCCCCCCCGGGCGCTCCCCCCGCGCCGTTCCCCCTCGGGGACTTGTGGATACCGGGATATGAAGACACCTGGACATGAGGACATGGGGACACTGGGTTACCAGGACATCGGGATACTGGGACACGGGGACATGGGTACATTTAGACACCAAGAATAAAGCACAGTAGGACACCATGACATGGGGACATCGGGCTATGGGGACACTGGCACACCAGGACACTGAGACACAGGGACGGTGGGACACTTGGACATGGGGCCATGTGGGGCAGCAGCTTCCAGGCACAGCCCAGCTGGGCTCTGGTGGAGCCTCCCTGCCCCAGTCCTGCCATCCTGGCCCAGCCTCATCCTCTTCCCAGGCTAGTTCCAGTACCAGCCCCAGGCCAGCCCTAGGCCCAATCCCAGTCTAATCCTAATCTCTATCCAATCCCAACTCTACTCTCTGTCATAGTCCTAGTTCCTGTCCCACTCCCAGTCCTGTCCCGTCCCAGTCTCAGCCCAGACCTCATCTAGTCCCTGTCCCGTCCAGTTGTGGTCCCAGTCTAGTCACAGCCCCAATTAAATCCTAATCCCAATCCCCTTTCCTGTCCAGTCCCAGTCCAGTCTGGTCCCAGTACCAGTCTCCATCCAGTCCAAATCTCAGTTCCAGTTCAGTCCAGTCCAAGTCCCAGTCCCAGTCCCAGTTCAAACTCCAGCCCTAGTCCACTTCCAGACCAGTCCAGCTCCTTCACAGTCCAGTGCAATCCCAACCCACTCCCAGTCCTGCTCCCAGCCTGAGACCAGTCCCAGTCCAGGCAGGGTCCCAGCGCTGTCCCAGTCCGGACCAGTCCCAGTCCAGGCAGGGTCCCAGCGCTGTCCCAGTCCGGACCAATCCCAGTCCCAGCCACGGTTCTGGTCCCAGTGCCGATCCCAGTCCCAGTGAGCCCAATCCATTTCTCTTCCGGCCCTGGTGTCAGTCCCGGTCAGAGCCCCGTCCAGCCCCAAGTCCCAGTGCCAGCTCCGCGCCGTTCCGGCCCGGTCCCGGTCTCATTCCCGAGCCCGGCGCTGGCCGGGATGCTCCCGGTCTCTGTCCCAGGTGCTGAAAATGGCTCCGGCCCCGGGGCCGCGACCGCGGGGACCGGCCGGGGTGACCGGACCCGAACGGATCCGAATAGACCGACGGAACTAGCCGGTCCGGCCGGGCTGAGTGTGCCAGCAGGACCCGACCGGATCCGAGCAGTCCCGACCCGACCGGCTGGACCGACCGGCTGCGAGCGGCTTCCAGTGGCCACGAACGAACCCGAACGGACCCAAACGGGCGCGAACGGACCCGAACGGACCGACTGGGACCGACCACCCCCGACTGGACCGACCGGACACGAATGGACCGACCGGACACAAATGGATCCACTGGGCTGACCACACCGACCAAATCCGACCAAACGTGACCGGACAGAGCAGAACGAGCGGGGCTCAGCCGAGCCGGGCTGGGGTACGGGGGGCTGTG